AGAGAAGAAAAAAGCATTTTCATAATCATCCATCTCATCAAGCCATCAACACTTTTTATAAGGAATGACACTGTCTAGTGCCAGAATTCTTCATCAGTTCTTCTTCCAGGGGACAATCTCAGGAGATAAGAGGTCTGATGAGAGTTTTACGTTTTTCAAATCCGTGCATGCACTTCAATACTCATGCTACTAAATTTAATTCTTAAGTATTTAAGCCAGCTTTTCAGAAACTCAGTCTAGTTACTATAGCTAGAAACCAAAAAAGGGGAGAACCCTATTTTAATCAGTTAGTTTTAACAGCTGGATGGCGATGGTTAAGAACAACATCACATACTCCTTACAAAAGGCTGCTAGTGCCCAGCACTGTGCTAGGCACATAGTAGATTCTCAATAAATACTCACTTAAACAAAGGCAATTAGACCCTAACCTAGACAAAAATGTTACTAAGAGTTAAAAACAGATTCAGAAACAAATTTTTAACTGCTATGAATTCCCAGAAACAATCTTAATATTAAATATCTCCGTAACATCCCTTATTATTATTGTTGTTGTTATGTGCTGTCAAGTTGGACCCAACTCATAGCAATCCCTCTTTGGGTTTCCGAGGTGGTATTACTACAGATTGCCCAACCTTCCTTCTGAGGAGTGGCTGGTGGGTTTGAACCGCCAGCCTTCTGGTTAGCAGTCAAATGCCTTAGGCACTATACTACCAGAGTTCCTGTAACATCTCTACTACACAGTAATAACAAACACAATCTATTAATTGTTCTGGGGTATTTGGAAATTTTTGGAAAAGTTCAGAAAGTCCACAGGGTGATAGGAAGGACGTGACATTAGAAGCAATGTTCTTTATCCCAAGCCCCAATATTAAAGCTGAAATACTGTGCCCTTAACTCCCACATCTGTATTTTGCCCTCTCTGTCAGAAGTCAAAGCTTCTGAACAGGAAGCCCCTGTCCTCCCTACAGAGGGCACCTGCCATTCCCTCTGCCAGCTCCCCCGTACCTCCTCATGAGGGCACTGCCTACCAGGCTGGCCTGTGTCACCAGGCATAAACATGGACTCCTATTAAAAAATACCCAAAAAAGAAATATTTCTCGAGCTTCTCTTTTTAAAAAAAGAATAATTACAAGGACAGCCATAACAAAGGCACAACAGCCACCCCAGCCGCTGTAGAGTCCGGCCACAGCAGGTGCAGCTCTGGACACCGTGACCGCAAGCAGGCCCCACGCGCCAGGTTCAGGGCACGCTGCCTCATCCACTACTCGCGGTAACCCTGGGCACTCAGTGCCACTGTCCCCACTTGACCTCAGGGTGCAATACCTGAAAGCTGCTTCGCCTTGACCTCCCAACTGACCCAAGGTTTAAAAAGAAAAAGAAAGAAAGGAATATATTACCTCAAAAAAGTAAGGAAAAAATTCCCACAGAAAAATTTTATCCACTGAAATGACAATGTAACTAAACATATACAGCGTATCAGATCTAAACCAAATTCCATAACGGCATTATAAAGAGATTATAACCAACGGATAGAATCCGTAAGGAGATGAAATGGTTGCCATTTTATCAGTCTCGTTACTTGATTCTAGGTGAAGTTGCCTTTAATGACTTACTGGGACAACAAAGAAGACTGCTTCAACATTTTGAAGCCAGAATACAATGATTTCTATGTTTTTTCAAGCAGGGTTGCAAACCAGTCCGGTCCAGTCCAAGACCCTGCTTGGAATTTGCCTTTCCACCCCACTGGAAGCGTAGTGCCTAAAGGCACTTGACTGCTAACCAGAAGGCTAGTGGTTCAAACCCACCAGCCACTCCTCAGAAGGAAGGTTGGGCAATCTACTTCCGTAGTGATACTGCCTCAGAAACCCAAGGAGGGGTTGCTATGAGTCGGGTCTGACTCGACGGCACATAACAACAACAACAAGAACACCCCCCACATACACTGAGTCAGAATCTACACTGTAACAAGCTCCCCAGGGGATTCTTACTATACATCTTGTTAAAATGGAAACTCTGCTTCAGTGTATCTGGGGTGGAAAGGCAAAATCTCCAGGGGTGGTGGTGGGGGAAGGGGTTTGAACCGGAATTAACCGGCTGAAAGTCCTGGTTTCAAGCATGGCTGAGGCCAAAGTTTTCCACCTAAATTATGGCAAGAAGGTAGGAAGAATCCAGGGGCTATCAGAGCACGTAGGGAGACTCGAAAGAGCTTCTGACCAAATGGGGAAGCCCTGCGTGCAGGGCACCAGATTATGCGCGCTGATTCTGAATCTCAAGTGAGTTTGGCTACCCCACATCAAGGGCGGCTTCTATGAAAGACTGCAAGGGGTGGAGCCATTTCTTCATCAACATTTAACACCTGCTTCATGGCACTTGCTGCGTTTTGTCTGGTGTGCCCCTCCAAATCCGACAGCTGCAATGCGCACTCACAGAGGTCCAACAGACCTAAACGGCACAGCGCTATGAAGGCCATGCAGGTGTGCACCACGTAGGTTAAGGCAGGCTGCTGCTGCTAAGGGCTGTCGACTCAACTCCTGCTCACAGCTCCCACCCGTGCACCGCGGAACCAAACGCTGCCAGGCTCCGCACCATCATCCAATCCTTGCCGTGCTCCAGCCCATCGCTAAGGCGGTCTAGACCTAGCTTCTCTCCAACAGTCGGGGACTGGGCCAGGGCCATTGGCCGTCCCTACTGCTACAGACCCTTTCAGTCCAAAAGCCCTGCCTCTGACTCGAGGTCACAATTCCTCACGCTGGTTCATTCTGCTTGCACATCCATGCTTAGTTTATCTCAGAAGGACAGACTTTCAAACACATATTTAGAAGAAACAGCCCTTTGGTTTACAGAAGCAACTGGAAGGCACCCATAGTCTGCCTCTAGGAATCCTGTTCTCCATCCGCCGTTCCTTTCTCTTCTGCCCTGGCTTTTTTTTTTTTTTTTTTTTTTGATGCTTTGGGAAACCTCTGTTCCAGTCTGTCATTTTAACTCTCAGGAGCCTGCATGTACTACTTCATGATGCTATTTTCCTAACGCACTCAGAAGCACAGGGTCCATCTTCACATTATGTTACCTCCTTTACAGAGATGCTTAATACATGCTAGCATGTCAAAGCAATCACAATTTGGATTCCTAAAAACTCCTTCATCCACTGTCTTCTGAGAAATCACTGAAAATACTAATGCCTCCAAATTTCCACTTTTAAACTCCTGACCTTTTTCCAGGGTCTCCTTTGAATCCATGAACACATTTGGAGAAAAAAAACACATTTTGCTATCAAATTAATATCAATTTCAAAGGTCAGGCCATGGTGGATAGAGAAGCTTTAGGAAAAGCAGAGACTGAGACCCCTGGTTTAGTGGAGTAACTCAACCACAGGACACTTCACAGAGATGGAACCGGGGGCATTCCCAGCACCAAGGTGAGAATACGATGGGGGGTAAATAAGGGGTGCTCCCTGTCAGACTAGTGCCATCTAAGGGTGGCTTTGTACTTGAGGCTGCAGGTGCAGAAGAACACCTGGTCTATACCCCCAAAGACTGTGACGCCACAGTGAAAAGTATCTATGCTTTAGGCGAGGGAACGGCTGCCAGTGGGAATATCAGATGAAGCCACTGCATCTGGAAATTGGTTGTGGAGTCCCCAGCCACCCATTCCCTCCCTCAGTGACTTGCTTATGGTGTGCCCACTCTGGCCAGGTGCACAGGTGAGCAAAAAAAGCATGGCCCCTGTTCCTGAGAGCTCACAATCTGAAATTCTGAAGAGGCCGGAAATTCAGAAGAGGTCGAGGAAATGAAACAGGCACAGAGTAATCTACTTTGGGGGAAAGACCAAAAGATCAAGCACTAACCTTTGAACAAAGCACAAGTCCCAGGCAGACTGCAGGCCTAAAACTCCCTCCCGGCTCTGTCCGCCTCGCCTCACTTCCTCCATTTCCAGTACTCCCTGAAGCCAAAGATGACTGAATTCATAGTTCTTCCTTTAGAGTTCTGCTTTGGAATTTCCATTACAGCTCATGCGTTCTTTGGCCTAATCTAGCCTCTCTCCTATCCCACATTTGCAATCTACTTCTCTCATAGTATGTGAGCTAGAGCTAGTGTAGGCATCTTAACTTGGATTCATATGGGAACATTCCTTCAAAAATATTTAAAATGACTTTTGAGATGGAGTTGGAGCTCAGTATCATCCTGTTCAAAATTATAATGGAAATTTTATGAAGATAAGTTATCTTTGGATTTTGCTACATTTTTACATTGGACTTCCTGGGCTCTCTCACCATTAGGTTGTTTTAAAACAGGGCTAGAGATTCAGATCACAAGGTGCAAACCTTCTGAGCTCAATTTCAAGTTCAACATATGATTTCTAATAACACTCTATCTTAATCTCAACTTGCACATACCAAGCCTTCCAGGTAGTTTCAGTGTCTCTAGTTCAAAAGAAAAAGCCAAGTAGCCAGATATGCACACAAATTCCAAACAAAAGGTACAATGGTGAGACCAACACACCTCACATAAATATGCAGTTTTCCACAAAATGTTAGTGACTTTAAAAAAAAAGAAAAGAAAAGAAAAAACAACTGCTTGCAATTTCTTAGAGTTGAAAATTTAATGTTGACTCAAAGACAAAATAATTATTTAGCGTATCAACACCTACTAATTCCCATAGAGGGCTGTGTATCAAAATGGCATTACTGAAAAAGGTAACGACGTACCTTTTAATATGCAGTGCTGTAAGTGCTATGCATAAAATAAGAAGCAATGTGTAGGCAGTAGCAATTGAATTGTTTATGCACTCAAACAGTTGCCTTGAAGTATAATAAAAATGAGCATGGAATGAAAGGTTCATGCAGGCCTATGAGCAAAATAAAAACAGAAACCCAGAAACCAACCACAGCCCCCCAAGCTACCCTGCCCACCCCGGCCACCCTGCCAGCCCCCCACAAGTTTTTCCTGTGGGCTTAAAACCCTTCTGTTTTGGAAGACCTTGTACAGGCTTTATACATTCACCTGGTGGCTCATGAAGACCAGAAACACTGTCATAGAAAGAAGCTCTCTGAATATTCTGAATCTCTAAAGCAGAGAAACAGCAGAAACAGGAGGACAGAAGAGCAAATACACAAACACTTCATTAGTGGGAAAGACATTCGACATCACAAGTAAACTTTGAAACTGGGCTACAAAAGTAGCTTGTCCCGGCAGATCTCATGCAAACATTACTGTTTAGATACAGAATGTGCACATTTGGACAAAATTCCTTTTAGAATAAATTTAAACTAATCAAAAGAGCACATTCCCACCTCCAGGTATGAGCATTTCATCAATGTTAAATGATTAATATCTCCATGTAAAATGAAGGATGAAATCTAAGAGTAACAAGGTACTACTCGAGTCGTCTATCATAAAACCATCTTGCAGTTAGCAAATTGGGACATGACAGAACTTGAAAAAGGTAAACAGTAGTGGCTTTTACTGTCAAAAATCCATACCATTGTGTAATTTTACTTCCAATACAGATTTCTGGAAGGTCACTTACTTCAAATACAAATTCCTGAAAGATAGGTAACTACCATTAAGGAAAACAAAATTAAGTTCTGTTGCAGCAAAATGTTAAAATCTGCAATGTGATATAAAATCTTTTATCATTTTGTCAATTAAACTTAAAATAGCTTCAAATCATAACTTATAAGTTGATACTTATTGGCTATATCATTATGAACAAAGATATCCTAAGAGGCCCATTTACGTGAAAAGGCAATCTTTACTTTTCTGTGTATTCATGCCTCAAGAAGTGGCAAGTCGTCCTATGTGGCTGGTAGAGGGATCCCAAAAGAACATCTTTTACCAAAAACCAGGGCACTATGAATCGCTAGGGCAGGGCTGCCACCAATAAATCTTATTGCTCTTGGTTTGGGCTTGAGCAAATTCTCTAAAACCCTAACAGAAACTATTTTAACACAAAATGCTTTATACTCAATGTATACAAAACATATTACACTAGTGGTCAACCTGTCATTTTCTTCTTTTGCATTTAAGTAGGTATAAAAAGCGGAAATAATTATGTGTTTCTCCAAAAGTATTTCCGTTTCCTAGGCGAAAATCTCCCCTTGTCCCATGAGACCTCCACATTCAGGGCAGTGATGATGGGTTCTCTACCTTGAAACCCTCTTCAAACTTCTCATCTGCCACTGACTTTGTCCATGAGACACAGTCCTCAAAACTAGACACCCATGTCCTGCCTCCCATCTGCCCTTCACCCTGCAGGATGGGTTCTGCCAACAGCACATGACCCTTGAGATCCTCTCTGGAGGTTACACACCGAGTAACCATCCACCTCAGTTGCTGGACAAGAAGACGTTCTGTTAATACCAGCATTATCAGGATAGCAAACCCTGAGCATTGTCCCAGGGCAGACGTCAGCACAACCAAACCATACTGGGGATGAATTAAGAGTTATTCTTTCAGCCTATTTTGACAAAAGCAGCCAACCATGCTCCCAAAGCTGCACACTTTTAAGAAGCCAAGGGATGTTCTCTGGGCTGTGCACTGTGGACCAAGTGCAGATGAGCAGGGCTAGGGTGGGAACCGAACGAGCTCCATAAGGTTGCAAGGGTTTCTTCTAAGCATTTATGTAATCCAATGCATAACATCTCTGCGTCTATTCAATGGAAAGCACAAACATTCAGTTAAAGAACCTCCAGATATGGTCCCACCTACACAACATGTCATCTGTGATACATAACTTGTACTGATCTCGCCAGCCCCCACCTCCTCCTCCCTTGCCTGCCAATCTCACATTCTGAAACTTCTGAACCACTGTTGCCAAAGTTGTTCTCCCCCTGCCCCCGAAATCTGGGGATAAAGATATGGAATTAAAAGAAAAAGGAAGGAGGGTGCCCAGGAAGCTGGCTGCTGAGAGGACTAGTTCAGTCCGATTACTGTGTATGTATATGTCCTGATTGCTCAACTAGATGATAAGCTTTTGGGGGTACTTTGGAAGAAAGTCCTGGCAATCTACTTCCAAAAGATCAATCCTTGAAAACCCTGTGGAACACAGTTCTCTGACACAAGCGGGGTCTCCAGGACTCGGAGTTAACTCCATGGAAACTGTTTAGTCCCAAAATATGTGCTTCTTTTCATCAGCATGAAGAAAGAGAAAACCAGTTTTTGAGACATTAATAGAAAAAACTCCACTCCTTTTTCTAAGGCATTCCTTCCATTCCCACTAGACTTTCTATCAGCCTCATAACTAAACTCCCTACTTTCAGTTACTCTCACTTTAATCCAGCCTACAAACCACTGCCAGCTGCACTTACTCAAGTTCAACGGTGTTATTATCCTGGCTCACAAACCTTTAGTCACTTCATGCCATTTATTCAATAAAGTGCAAATTCCATTTGAGACTGGCAATCAGGGTTCTCCAGTCTGGTCTTAACCTATTACCCTGGCTTCACTTCCTACTCACCCTGACCCCCTTTTCGCCCCAGCCCTGCTCTAAAGCTAACATGGAGCACCCACCTTAGCTGAATACCTGCTGTGGCTTCACTTCCATAAGGGGATCATTCTGTTCCCTGTATCCTTACCCTTGCCTCCTTCATGCCAATTTCACTTATATAAAACCACTCCCTCCCAAGTTGAGTCACCTCATGAAAAGCTACAACCCTAATTATTTAAGGCATGACTGTGATGGAGACGCATATTAATTAGTACTTAAAACAAAAACTGCCCAGCACTTAGTAAGTGCTCAGTAAAGGTTAGGTTCCATTATTGAGTCAATAAATTCTTCAATGATGAGGAAAAAATGCCTCATCTTTCATGGCAGTCTACCTTAGCCCCTAGGAAAAGGGGAGCTCCTTCCTGTCATTCATCCCTAAAAACTCATTTTGTTCCATTCACCTGGCATTTACCATACAGGTCTCTGACACACAATGATCCATAGCCATCTCTCACTCCCTTCCCTGAACCCTAAGATCTTAACAAAGTTCCAGAAGGGGAGGGCTGAGCCCAGCAGAATCAGATGGAATTCATTCCCAAAAGAATAATAATGCAATTATTCATCATGGGCTGCTTTACTCCTTCCTCTTCTATCTGTAACATCTCCCATCCATCCTTCCAACACATCAGTGCTGGTCTTTCCAGCATTGTGGTCCCTCGTGTTTCTTGTTTTTTCCCCCATCTCTAGTTCTAGTTTCCCCTATCCCAGTCTAACATTTCCTAGCTACTGGGTTAAGAGTACCTTATCTATTCAGATCCTGCAAATTTCACATTAGGTTCCTGCTTCTCTTCTCCGTTCCATCAACTGACTAGATTACTGGAAGAGGTACAGTGTGCAATCAGTAGCCAGTTGAAGATTCTCATTGAAAGGTACAAAGATTAAGAGCTTTGGTTCTACTTGTTGGAAACTTAAATCTTTTTGATGGATCCCTCTCAGGCATACAATCTCTTCCTGGGACACAGGCATGCAGCTCACCCTGCAAAGGTACCCTAACACTAACTTCATCTGATGAAATGATCATTTTGAACGGGTTATCTTTTACATGGTGGCCTTTGTGCCTATATACTTCCTCTGTGTTCTTTTCTCCTTCCTTTTGGTCCAACAGCCCAACCCCCTGGCTTTTCTACTGTGTGTGCTGCTTCTCTCCTTCTGAGAAGATAACTAATGATAAGGTCTAGAGATGCTCTAGAAAAGGCAGGAGAGAGCCAGCCTGCCTGAAGAGGCCTGGCATCAGAGTCATGGCCTAGCCAAGGCCGAGGTCCTGCACGGGCTATGCCCAGCAAAGAGATGATATAGAACCAGGAGGAAATATAATTCTGAGGGCTAAGTTCTAATAGAAGATACTGGTTCCTACTTGCATAAAGACATATAGACATTTTGTTTTTCTGGTACTAGTAGTGAGCTTGGGGTTTTTTATTTTTATTTTTTTTCAGTCTTGGTACTAGTAAAGCCTTCTAATCTAAGATAAAATCATCAAATCCTCATCACCTGTTTTTCAAGTTAACGAAAGAACTATGAGGACGGAACTATAAGTAACTGCTGTGTACGCAGGTATTTGCAAGTTTATTCACCAGCCATTGTGTGTGTGCTAAGAAGGCCAGGTGTTGGTTGAAGACAGCATCTTAGTAAAAAAATGCATATACACAGGGCCTCTCAGTTTTTGTGTCCCCAGGTCCTTGAATTATAGTTGAATTGCGACTGAGGTGGCCTGAGGCATTATGGGTAGTTCTTTGTGGCCCTGAGCCTAGAATGTTCCCCACTCCCACCAGTATCTGACCAAGAAGGCAAATGTCTCTTATCCATTTCTTAACCTAAGTATTCTTAAAATGGATAAACTCCAACATAATGGCAGCCCTGCTCTAGGGAAAGAGAGTTTTAAAGTAAAATATATATTGATGTACATATATATAAAAGAACCATACATAAACTTTAATTGTAAAAGACTCCAGCCAAGTTTAATCACAAACACAAGCACACTTACCGTCTTTCCAAAGCTCTGCCACAAATCTGTCTGAGGACTGGTGCAAAAGGGTGGCCACATTGTCATTGAGAGGGTCCATGTTCTTCATCAGCCACTCATCTGCCTTGTAGTCCACCTACACCAGACCAACACCAAGAGAGGTGAAATGGGACAAAAAAAAAACTAAAAACTTTCACCAAAAACTTTCACGGACCAATTCAAAAATTGGTTTGTCTCAAAGGCAATACTTAAACATTTATAAACTTTTGTTATACCTTCATGAAATACAGTAAAACTTCAAACATACTAATTTTAACCCAGTTTTTCAACACAAGGACTCTTACCTTCCCCGCATAATGTATAATGCAAAAATCAGCTTTGTCCTTCAGTTGCCGAGGTTTCTGAAACTTGGAGTGGGAACCTTGCTCTTGAACCAGTTTTTCAACAAACGTTTTATCAGTGGCTTTAGGGAACCAGCACTCTTCATCCAAAAGGGCCAGCACACCAGGGGGGTTAGCCTGACAATGAGAGGCAAGAGGAGATGACATGTTCCGCATGTCACTTTAAACGCTAGAACACTTTTCCATCGGATGCAGTTAAATGTCCAAAACAATTTGAGTTTTATGAAAATCTATGGAAAAGAAATTAGTAGGATGGAAGGTAATGCCCAAACTACAACAAATTTGTAATTCAAATGCTGAGATCTCACACTGCTAAGTAGATACTGGTAAGAAAATGGATGAATAACTTATCTCATAAACTCATAAATATGTAAAATTTTAAGTAAATGAATTTCAAGTAGATGGCCCAAAAAAGCAACAAGGAAACTGGGGGATAGAAAGATGAAATGGAATGTTTATAAGATATTCAATGATGAACTGGATAAATAATAAAATAATAAAATAAAATAAAATAATATAATAAAAAAACAAAATAAATAATAAAACCCCAACTAGCTGGAATGGTTTGGACATTTGACATTGAAATAATTTTAAGTTTCTGTTTTCAGTGGAGATTAAATAAAATGTATCACTTCACATTTGGTGAAATACCTAAAACCATTATACAGGATATGGAAGATAATGAAAGCAGTCATTAATCAGTTTTTTTGAAACAATCATTTGAGAGCCTATTTCATGTTATTCAATTAGCTCACTGAGAAAAGGGCTAGACAAATCCATTGGTCCACAGAGGCAGGAAGCAGATTAGTGGTTTACAGGGACTGATGAGACAGGAGTGGGGGAAAGGTGGGGAGTGTCTGCTGCTAGGCACAGAGTTTCTTTCTGGAGTGATGAAAACACTCTGCAATTAGATAGTGGTGATGGCTGCACAGCTCTGTGAATAAACTAAAACTGTACACTGAATGGTATACTTTAAAAGGGTGAATTTCATAGTATGTGAATTAGATCTAGATTTTTAAAATTTCTTTATAAACACCTAATTTGCCACTCTCTGGAAGCTCAAACATCAATGCAACAATTTCTTTTTTGCAGGTAAGTAGGAGACATACGAAAAACTAAATGAGATATTTAAGTAATGATTTGATATGCTTTTGGGTCATGATTTATTACCATACTACAACTATGGCAAATTTGTGAGATGCGACTGAACTTGGACCAATTCCAGGGTATACCCATGAAATCAGCTTTTTGATTTTTATATTTACTGGAGAAGAGCTTGCTACACAGATACTGCTTAAAAAAAAAAATAAAAATGAAACACTATAGCAATGTAGTCAGAGCAAGGTGATGGTCCACCAGACCACTGGCTAGAAGCCGAGAGAGTCCTCTGCAATGAGTCCCAGCGCTGCGACCCCTACGCGATGACTGCCTCATCTGTAGCTACTCCACTAAAACAGCTGAAGGGTTCAGAGCAGCTGAAAGAACCCCACAGTCAAAGGTAACCAACCTGGGTCATTCTAGACGAGCCAGGGTTCAAAGCAGCAGATGTTCAATAGACCCCGCTTTTCTGACAACTCTGAGAAACAGAGTCCCAGATTAACACAAACTTCCATCTTTCTCCCAGAAGTTTTATATTTTAAATCCCTTATTAATGAAGACATTTAATTCTGAAATAGGAACCCAGATATCATTTAATCTTTTCTAAACGACTCTGTGACAGCATGGCTACAAATATCCATTATTATACTGTCTCCTTTTAAGTTTTTCTACTTCATCCTTTAATGTCAAGATCTCCGTTACTACTTCTTTTTTCAATTTCTCTTTTAGTTCTAAAGCGCTGTAGGCTTGGGAGACTATATGATTTTGTATTAATGGTCAGAGACAATGTCAGAAAAAAACAACAACAAAGCTTTCTGAGCTCAGAGGCTCCCCTACTACCACCCCATGCCAAGCTGGGAAATGGCTGGGCTGTTCGTGAGAGAGGTGGTGAGACTGGTTATGGGACCGGCAGGGTGGCACCACCAGGGTGGCACCACCACGTGTTCTCTTAGATATCTTCCTTCTGGAAGATACTGCCCTCACTCTCCGTTTTCAAGGAACATCAAGGGAATCGTGTGTAAAACACAGGTGGGAACCACAGACTGAGTTGCAAGAAACTACTTCAGAGTCTGGGGGGCGGCAAAGAAGAGACCTCTGAACTGATATTAAAACATACCTACTTAACTAGCATTAGAACATTATGTAAATTCAGGATATCAATGCTTAATAATGCTTTCGTTTTTCCTGTATTCTGGCAGAGAGCAAAACAAAACAAGCAAAGCTAATGCCTGTTGAACAAAAAGTAACCGGCAAGGGCATACACAGCCAAACCGTCACTATTTGTTTGAGATCATACGGAGTAAAGTTTCATTAAGTGAACGATACCAAAAATATCAGTTGCTACAGACTGGATCCTGACTCACCCCATGTGTGTCAGTACAACTGTGCCCCAAAGGCATTTCAATGGCTTTGATCTTTTGGAAGTAGGTCATCAGGCCTTTTTCCCAGGTGCCTCTGGCTAGATTTGAACTGCCGATCTTTCAGTTAACAGCCAAGAGCTTAACTCTTTCTGTTACCCAGGGACTTCTGGTTGCATTATACACAATTCTACATATTTCCAGTTAAAAGTAAACCAACAAGAAATTAATCTCTGATGCTTTTTAAGACTGCTATTAAAAATACATCTGCCATCTGCTCCTACCCCAAAAATGAAAGTAACTGGAACTTCAAATGAAAAAATTTATATCTGCCAAAAATAAAAACACATTTGTACTTATGAGGGAGGATAAGCTTCCCAAAAAACCAAACCCACTGCCATCGAGTCAGATCTGATTCATCATGACCCCTCCTTGGGTTTCCGAGGCAGTATCACTATGGAAGTAGACTGCCCAACATTCCTTTTGAGGAGTGGCTAGTGGGTCTGAACCACCAGCCTTCTGGTTAGCAGTCAAGTGCCTTAGGTACTAGGTCACTAGAGCTCCTACCAGATAATGAGCTTATCTAATCAAAAATTGATTTACATGAAATATGTTATTCTCAGCTAAATAAAACATCCTTACATTGCCTAGAATGTAAGCCAGCTGGAGTTCAAGTCCCGCAACAGGTGATGGGGGTGAAGGTACACACAACCGACACTAACACAAAAGAGGAACCAGCCCAGTGTCCACCGCACACACGCACCACTACAGAAGCAGAGCTGAAAGGAAGGGGAGCTAAAGGAGAGGCCTCTCGGAATGTTGCTTACTTTTCAATTAGGTATTTGATCAGAGCATCACCTTCCTAGAACATTTAGAGCAGAAGATTATCTTAACACTGACGAAACAAGATTAATGTCCGTCTCGGGTTATGCCAAGACGCACATTCCAGACACGTTCTGAACATGGACTGAAAGGCAAATATCAAGGGAATGTTCTTACGGGTCTCTCTATCAAGTCAATGCACGGCTGCAGGTCTAACCCGAAGTCGATGAAGTTCCACTCGATGCCCTCGCGCTGGTACTCCTCCTGCTCCAGGATGAACATGGTGTGGTTGAAGAGCTGCTGCAGCTTCTCGTTGGTGTAGTTGATGCACAGCTGCTCGAAGGAGTTCAGCTATAAAGTGTTCAGTCATTTTCCACACACGGGGCGGGGGGAGGAAAAGTCAAGTCAGCTGGTTAGGCAAAAAGCCCATGAAAAGTTAATCAGGTGCCCACTATGTTACTGATTCTATCGAATCTCTACCAAAGGTCAGAGTCTCTCTCTCTTTTTCACATACACCCCCACACACCCTGACACCCATAACTCCCTCCACACAACCTCCCCACACCTTTGCCCTCACACAAATCCCAACACATCACACACACACACACACACACACACCAACAAACACCCTAAGCTTTCCTGAGAAGCTAAGAACAATACATAGTCACGTATTACAGCCCTGCTAAAATGAGAAAAATAATAAACGTAAGTTAATTGAATCACCTACAAATAAAACATTATTCAAGTCTTAATAGTGAATGGGTAAGAACTAGAAATGAGGAATAAATGAGACAAAATGAGAAAAAGAAGAACAGAGACTGACGAAGGCCAGAGGCAAAGTGAGGTGAGCACCAGAGAGCAGGACCAGGGCGAGTCTGGAGCTGTCACAGGCCTAGGGCCCGGGTTTGCCACATCCCACTCTATTCTCCACTTAGACTACGGGCTCCAGAGGGAGTCAAGAAAGTCATCTTACTTGCTGTTGTGAGATTAGCCCAGCCTGACACACAACCAGCGTTTGATTTGATTAACTGGAAAATTTCTCGCTACTTTTCTAAGCTCTTCAATTTTTGACCTTTGCCCATATCTCATAAAGTGAACCTGATCACCCTTCTCATATGTAACAGCCATTTCTGTGAACTCAGCCTGTTTTTCTCTCACGCTGTCGACTAGAAGCGTGCTTGGATGGATAAATACAGGTAATTTTTCTTAAAGCAATCATCCAATATACCGTGAGTATTCAATGCCTTTTAGCCTCCACGCTGTTCACATGACTACCACATACGCATAAATAAGCCCCTTCATTATAAGAAGTTATTTTCAATTCGGGAGGTTTAGTCAGTCTTCAAGGAAGAGATCTGTAGTCTGAAAAAGCCACCCCATTCTTTCACATCCCCATGGAGACGTCATGCTCCCACATCCCCATGGAGACGTCATACTCACTATTTTAAACCGAGGTCATGCACGAAGGCAGAGGCAGTGTCTGCCCTTCTCAACACTGCGATTCTAGTGAAAAGTACATCGACGAGCCATGGAAATACTTGTAACTACGCAACTGTGTTTATTCATGTTTATATAAACAGATTTCACGTTGCCTGAAAATGATGAGATCTTCTCTATGTAGCCTGGCTACTATCTGAAATAGTATTTGAAAAAAATAATAATTTCTACTTGTCTTTCATATTTACTAAACTACCAACTATATTTTAATATAGTTGGTATTTAAATGTGTAGTACATGGTATAAAATTCAAAATGTATAGTAAGAGGTGAACTGAAATAAAAAATCTCACTCCAGTCCCTTATTTGCTCTTCTTATAGTCACCACTATAACCTATTTCCTCCTAGAAATGTTTCATGGATTCATACGTGTTTGTGTGGACGTTGCTGTTGAGAAGATGCCCCTCAGGGAGCCCACGTGGCGCAGAGCTGCCCCACGCAGTTTGCCTGGCTGCCATCTGTACGGACCCGGTCACCAGATCTTCCTCCCGAGGAGCCCCTGGGTGTGTTTGAACTGCCATCTTTTGGTTAGGAATCAAATGCTTAACCATCTGTGTGCCACCAGGGCTCCTTGACAGTACACCTGGGGGTTCTGCTTTTTTCAAACTTAACAATGTATCTTGAAAACTTGCAGTATATAAGGCCACCTCATTCTTTAAAATGGTGGCACAGTACTCCACTGTATGGCTAGACGATAATTAAATAAACCAATCCCTCCAAACATCAAATGCATTGCACCATGGAGTCAATTCCAACCCATAGTGACCCCACAGGACACAGCAGAACTGCTCTGTTGGGGTTCCAAAACTGTAAATTTTTATACAAACAGACTGCCTCATCTTTCTCTCACATTAAAAAAAAAACAAATAAACAAAAAAAACTGACTGACACTGAGTCGCTTCCCCACTGGGTTTCCAAGGCTATTAGTCTTCACGGAAGTGGTCTACCTCATCTTCCTTCCATGCAAACAGCTGGTGGGTTTGAACCGCAGACCTTTTGGTTAGCAGCCAATTGCCTTATCCACTACACCACCAAAGCTCCTTCCACCTTTCGGTTAGCAGCTGAGCATTTAACCACTGCATCACCAGGGTCCTTTACCAACCTTGTACTAGGGGACATTTAGGCTTTACCCATGATATATAATGCTCACTAAACAATCTTACGTTTTTAGTATTACACACATTTTTTCTACTTTGAGTATTTACTCACAAAGACCAGGCTGTTATGTGTAAACTGGTGTTATAAGAAAATGGAGGATGACCACCTCAGATCATAACCGGAAGACGACTACAGCATTACATAACTACCAAACCACTGAGAATCACGGCCCAGCCAAGCTCTGACATAACCTTCACCGCCACAGCCAGCATTGCCTTGCTCCTGAGTATCTGGTACTGTCAGGTGTATGTTGCCAATGCACAAAATAGTTGGGCAGATTTTTTATTATTGTCATAAATGTGAAACGTCAGGTAACAAGGCAGTCCATCAGTGAGGGGTAGGTGTATTCATGTGTCAAAAATATACTTCTTGATATTCTATGGCTTTACAATGTCCTAGTATTTTCTAATATCCTCATTTCTTTTTCAGAAATTTACTATTTTTTTATTTGTTTATCAATTTAAGTTCAGAATAAGGTTCTGAACCTCACCAGTTCTCTCTTTTAAAATTTCTACTCTTGCTTACCATCAAGCAGATTCCCTGTGCTGTGGGATTCCCCGTGCTCTTTTGGGCTTTCGGGGTGTGACCTTTTGGAAGCAGATCACCACAACTGTCTTCCGAAGTGCCTCTGGGTGGGTGTGAAACACCAATCTTTCCGGCTCCTTGTCAAGTACTTAATTATTTGTGCCACCCAGAAACAACCAACATTTCTACTATATCCAAACCAAAACCGAACTCACTGCTGTCGAGTCAGAGTCGACCCACAGAGACCCCTCCTTGGGTTTCTGAGGTGATATCATTACAGAAGTAGATTGCCCAGCCTTCCTACTGAGGAGTGGTCTACTACAGGTTTTAAAAAAGTATGTTCAATTTATAAATTAACTTTGGGAGTGATGCTAAATTTTCCCACCAAAAATAGGGCATGTCCTGCAATTTTGCTCTAGTCTTTTCTTTTTCTTGTTGTTGTTGTTGTTATGTGCCAATCGAGTCGGCCCCGACTCATAGCGACCCCTCCTTGGGTTTCCGAGGCAGTATCACTATGGAAGTAGGATTGCCCAACCTTCCTTCCGAGGAGTGGCTGGTGGGTTTGAACTGCCAGCCTTCTGGTTAGCAGTCAAGTGCCTTAGGCACTATGCTACTAGATCTCCTAGCAGCCTTTTAAACGAGTCTTCATTTAAAAGCTTGCCTTTTTTTCTTAAATTTATCCCTAGATATGTGATCTGTTTTTACTGCAGCTGGAAACAGGATATTTCTTTCATTTTATCTTCTAATACATATAGGAAGGCAACAGATTTAAAACAATATGCCATTTACACCCAGCCACCGTTGATGATTTCTCAAGTTATTCACAAATCAATTACATTTAAAGCAATCTCTGACAGTGGCAGTGGAAGTTCAGGGGACGGAAATGCTTATACCAGTAATAGTTCAGATTTTATGAGGACAGAGTTGTAATTTTTTAAGTGGGTCATTTAAAAATAAGACAATTCAATACCCAATAGCAGCCAAAGTAGCATGCTCATCTCAAGAAGTACTGAATGTATCATTATGCCTCATGATAGAG